GTCCTCACAATTGTGAGTAAAAATTTTACTCCCTTTTTAAGACATCGAAAAAATCAAAGAGTCAGCAATAATGACAGAGACAGATGATGTGACGGTCAAATGAGAGTGTTGATAGGCCAAAGGGAAGGGAAGAAAAAAGGAGGGATTATACATGCTTCCATATTTACACGTCATCGAAAGAAAAATGGACATAATTTGTAGGCAGTTAAGTAGTCTCTTTAGCTCCTTCTTCACAAACGGTGTTGGTGGAGGGTAATACTCGCCACCTGAAACCGGGTAACGCCTGATCCATATCTCCGGCTAGCCGAACACGTGTAAACACCAACTTCCTTTCAGCTAAGTTGTTTTTAGTAATGAAGGCATTGCGTGCTCGATGGAAGGAACTGACCGTGGCAGCATTTGAGGCTGGACGAAATTTCTTGTCCAAGGCGTTGTTAGTGGCTTCCAGCCATTTGGAGGCCCTGCCAAGAATGGAGTCACAACTGGATTTTCGACCATTCGGCTCACCGTTCACTTGTAGATCGGTCAATCGAGAGATTAGACTCTTCTCCTGTTTGTTTGGCGCTCTTGAGGCCTCCTTTGTCGAATTTTCGTTAATTTGTACCACCTTGTGCTTGTAGACAACCTCTTTGGCAGGTTTGGAATTTTCGATGCTCTTCTCTACAACACAAAATGCAGCAAATTAGAAGGTAGAGGGGAGAAACTTTCAAAACCGCACGGAGATACTGTTTGCTACGGATGTTAATGGCACGGCATACTGTTGATGCAGTTAATCAAACCAGGTGCCTCGGCTAGTCAATGTGGAATCTACTGACAGAAACCTGACACGGCGCGTAACTTGTGACATTATCAAAGAGATGCTACTTGCTGTCATACTTGATTCATTTAAAGTTAAATAGCTATTAAGTGATTTTAAAGGAGTCTGGAAAACGCGCAATATTGTTGAGCACTCGTGGATCACATACTTGTAACACGTGATACATTGGGGTTAGACGCAGAGCACTAAAAATACAGTTTATTTTCCTTTACGAGACGCTGATAAATAATGAGTAGCAATTTACTTCGAAAAAACCCATTAGCTTGACTGTTTGTGTCAGGACTTGTTGGCGCATCCATTGGCGCAGAAGTTAAGGCGGATTTTCGTTTGGCCTTTTCGGAATGCATCTGAAAAACCAGGATACTATTGTTATTATGACAGTCACTCTCCTTAAAAACAGTTAAAAGTGCCCAAAATGTTCATTTCCATGATTCGATTCGGAAGTATGACAAAAAGGAGAAACAGAAGGAGGATGGCCTTAGTCATTCGCCCATCGATTGCTCTATCTCTTATAACCTAGTCGGCTCACAAACTTTCCTGCATCAATGATTGAGGCGGCACCGCAGTCTCTCAAACAGCTAATCAGGCAATAAGCTAATCTGACATCCAAAAGGTGCAACTGGAATAAAGAACTGAAGTAGACCTGACCTTGAGTACCGCGAGTATTACCAAATACCGCCGTTTGACATAAACATCCATCAAAGTTATTTAAGACGACTTACTTGAGTTGAAGTGTTATGCTGCGACATCGACGGAAGGAAGCCATCCAAGTTGATTTTCTGTATAATCTGTGGTTCTCTTATGGACGTTCTATCTTTTGTGCCCAGTGTCGCCTTTTCGTTCTCCCTTGACTTTGCGTTGATGCTCCATTTTCGAGTTGCCTCCTTTAACTTTGGAGAGGACTGTAAAAGTTAAAACAGCAATTCTTCTACATGATGGCACTAGCACCAAGGTAGTGCGTTCTGGACTCAAAATTGTGCATTTGTAAACCAAATTGCAAATTTAAAGCTTAGTACGACTTTTAAATCAACACCATGGGACGCTTAAATGCTAATCAGTAGCAAGGAACATAAGAAGGGGAAATACTTTTCATATGGACGTAGGCCTGTCATCAATAGGCCTACCATGTTAGTGATTTCAGATGTATAATGCGACAGTTAGTATTGGGAGGATTTTGCTTTCCACCGGAACTGCAAGCTTCCCTAGAGCCTGTCATCATCCACCGCTCGAATAATAAGAGAGCTATCATTTCTCAAATCAAAAAAATATATTTTATTCCATGCGTTTCCAAGTTTAATCCCCGCAATCTATTAAACTGCCAGAATAATTGCAATGCATTAGCAAATGGCCCTGTCAAAGATGAAAATGTAAAAATTTTTGAAATGCACACTCACATTCGACGAATTGGAGTTTGAATGTGTTTCCTGCGTCAAAATTCCATTGAGGTTAAGCTTCTGAATGACCTGGGAGTGGTAGTATCGCTCCTGACCACTGTATGTCTCGATTTTCTCCTCCACTGACTTTTGCTTTCGTGTCACCTTGTTCGATAAACCGTCTCCTACCTTCAAAATAGGCACGTAAAAAATTAAGACGAAGGCTGTTTACATTGGCCCAGAGACTACTCTGACTGATAGGAAGATGGCATAGCCTTAGGGTTCAAGTTGAAACGGGACAAAACGGTACTTTTAGTAACCATAAGCAAGTCTGAAACAACTCTGCTCCTCTCTCAGCCCATGGCTAGCTTGTTAGCGGTTACTTGTTTACCCCTTTCTTCCATGCAAAAGGCAACATTTGCCATTTACAAAGACCTCTACTGTAGGCTAGTAGGAAGAGGTTACAGTCAAACGGTAACAGAAGGAGGCTCTTAAACGCTGGAGACCACTTCAAAGGCACCGCTTACTCCTCTCCCCGATCTTGATGGCCTGTTTGGTGAACATTAAACATTAAAAACTTAAAACTGGGTCCCCGATCAACATTGGAATGAGAATGCTAACATGTTCACACATGTTCATTCACTAGAATTTGTGATGTGATGAAGTTGGTGGCCATTGGACACCACAACGCACCAAGAAAAGGAAGGGTGATACTGAATGCCCCAAGATGACCAAATACGGAAATGCTTTTCATGATCTGGGTGGCTGTTGATTATGAGGAGCAAAATTTATGCTTTCCTTCCTCCTTCTTCATCGACTTTTAAAATAGCTTGTGAATCTCGTTTTTGGTTATTCATATTTGCTGTCTACTTAATTTATTATCAGCGTCCATCGTTTTACTGACCCGATTCGATCCATTCAGCGATGAGAAGAGAGAGGTCTTCAAAGCACCAACACCGTTGAGGTCGATCTTCTGTATGATCTCTGGCTCACCAGTAAATTGTCTTATGACCGTCTACAAAGAAAGATCGCAAATCTAATCACTACTTTTGCCACCAAGATGGCTTAACAATCCTTTTACTTTACACAACTTCACTATGCTCGAGTTCTACTAGCCTTAGAAAAGCCCAAAGGAGCGAAAAATTAAAGAATAAGCTTTGTAAGGGTCTCTTTCATGATCTCGTAGAGCTAGATTATCGTTACAGATTACGAACTTATATGGGAGCCTTCGAAGGCGATCTAGGAGACAAAATTCACTCGAAATCCATTAGCACCTAGTGAGTGATGATAGAGGTAAGCCATTACTTATCGATGCAAACCATTTGGTCCCTTTTGTCTAAGTAACCATGGCTCTTACATGATACAGCTGTGCAACGTAGAAAAGGATTTCCTTCCACTTCAAATGATAGTGGGAATGTCAAAGTGATGAAGGAAGCAACTGTTTAGAAAAAAGTTGTGTCAAAAAATATCGAAGCGATGAGACTATGGCTTAATCATTTCCTGTTGGAAGTTTGATTCTAGATGCCTTGACAGCCAGTAGATGACTTTTGAACTGCGAAACATCTTTAAGGCATTCTTCATTTATAAAAGACGGCGGTCTTTAACGCACAGCAAACTGATTGGTTAATTTGATTTGAGCAACCTTCCCGCTGATTGGTTGATTTATTAGACGCTCTAGCTCCCCCTCCTATCCTCTTCTCGCCTTCTACCAAATCAATATAAATGAGACTGTTAGGGATTAGGAGCTCTATACTACTATCTATCCATAAAGTAAAGACGCAGAGTTTAAGGGATGATCTATTCTTTTGTGCTGCATTTCCTTATCATTTTACCTTCAGCGAATTGGTTAGTCCAGATCTAGAAAATGCAATAAAGCTCCGTCATATCCCCCCAATGGTCTCTCTACCCGCAAGTTTTAATCCCATGACCTTGGTGATATGAAGGACAGAGGCGAAGGAAAGTATGGAGGACTGCTACAACACACAAAGGTAGCACCAAATCTTACCGCAACCCACGGATGTCGAAGGCACTCCGAAGCCGTGTCTCGCTTTCTACAAAAGAGTAGATTTGTTATGCCCTTTAGAGCTGCAAACAAGTTGGAGAAAATACTCCTAATGTCGATTAAGATAAATAAACTAAAATTCCTCATCCATTACTCTGTGTTTATAATTGTTGTAGGGTTTGAATGGAGCTATGAAAACGTTAAAAAGTGTGCAGTTGTCTTCGTCCTACAGAACCAACCCGTCTCCTGAAAAATTATGAAAAGGCAGGTTGGTAAAACTAGTAAACTAATGCCTTCAGTCTGCTTTTTTTCTATCTAGCTCAGTTACACTCACCGTGGATTCTTTCGTAGAAGCCGAGTTATAAAATCACGTGCCTCGGAAGAGACATCTAGGAATTCTTCGCGATCGAAGGTGACGGAACACTCTAGAATATTCTGGAATGTTTCAACTTGAGTGTCACCAGCGAATGGTGAAATGCCACTGAGTCTACGAAAAAAGAAAGTGGCATTTTTAAAATTTGGGTTTAATTGTCCAACCTTCTCACATCTCATACTTTTTTGCTATAGAAAGACCATTCCATCGGAGACATATCTTAATATTTTAACCTGTGGGAATGATTTCTCTTTTGCAGGATATCATCAACAAAAAGCCAAGTAGGTGTAGTGTTGATTCAAACTTTAGTTTAGTAAGAGAAAGAGGAGGAGGAGGAGGAGGAGGAGGAGGAAATTGCTTAATCGCATATAAATAGATTTGATATTGACAGTAGCATAACATTCTAACGAAGGTTTCTTTTATCAGCAAAAAAGAACAACATTTGAAAAAAAAGGAACGACAAAACACTTTAAATGTTTCTTTTCTAATTTACATTCTTCTAATTACACAGACGCCACAGTTCTAACTGTGATGCTTTATAGTATGCAAAAAGGCACAGAAACCTTGCATGTCCGAATCTAGCCTGATTTTTACGACAAACAACATTCCAATTCCAAGGTCACGGAAACTCCTATTTTTCTGCCTTTTGGCACCACAAGGTCTTGTGTATTGCCCGAGTATGCGCCAAACAGATGCTAACACGTACCACACTCTGCTGCAATTACAAACCCATTTTTCAAAAAGATAAGTCCCATCAATCTCTCTCATTCAAATCCAATTCAGACTTTTAAAAACGGCAAACGAAAACTTGGTTACTGGGTCAACGCAGCTTTGTGACCCTTCGGCCTAATGTTGGACGCTGGTTTGAGACACCGAATAGACAGTTGAGTCGATTAAGCTAACTACCTTTCTATCAAACAGCTCACACTATTTCCGGCACATATAAATAGGATAATTGGGGAGCCTTGGGACATTATGAGCTCTTTTTTTTCCCAAGGTCAGTCTTGTCTGCATTAGCAATGGTCATGAACAAGTGATGATAGTAATCAACTATTTTACCACTTCCGTGCCTACCCTAGCCAAAATTTCATCAAAGAGGCGTTCAGATGGCAAAGGCAGGGCAACATGGTTTCCATGACAAGCTGTCCGACCCTACGCCTACCTCCTCCCAAGAACATTATCAGTGCCTTTAAAAGTGTGATAAATGAAACCACACGTAGTTTTCCCATGCACGTGAAAGGAAACTAGTCCCATGGTTGCAGGCTTGAGGAACTTGCACAATCCGGAGTTAGCATAAACATGCGGAGTTGATACCGTGCATTTGTGACGCCTGTTTTTAACACTTGGGATTGGTTAATCGTTGTGAATTTACCTGATCAATCAAATGATGTTTCCTCAAAAATTCCGTTGCCTCTATTTTAGCATTTTTAACCTTTCATTAACATGTGTTTGCCTAGTAATTTCTCAGTTTCCTACTAATTGGTTTTGAAATTAAAAATTCAACGGAATTTGGTCTCCATAAGGGCAATTAATGGGGACTGAGAGGGTGCAAAATGGTGGTAGGGGCAGTTGATGGTAAGTTCCAAGGCAACAGCCTCCGTGGAATTACATATAATTGGACTTACAAAATGTATGTCATCACACCAATAGCCCACATGTCAGTTGCGAAGGTGATGGGATCGAAATTGACAATTTCAGGTGCTAAAATAAAATGATGTCTTTGGTAAGTTGCAATAACAGTGGAAGTGGCGGTGTTTCAAATGGAAATGGAGTACGATGATCTTTCCGAAGACTAGCAAATACATTGTACTTGTGCTCCGAATTCTACAGACTGTATCTATATGACTATATCCAATAAATATTACTTTAAATAACTTCCTTCTCAGAAATCTCCTCCTAAGCTGGATTTGACACAAAATCATAACATAAAAGATAAATGAAAAAAATGACCAAAATATTTGATCTTTTATTTTACCATGAGCGTCAGGTAGTTACACAATTTTAAAAAAAGGTATTTAGAGAGCTACATTAGCGTGTTAAATGAAGATAATGAATTTTGAGAAGTTAAAGCCTAAAATGGTTTCGCTCGGTCTAAGTACCTCGTTGTCCAGTTTTACTTTAGCTGGATCAATCAGTAGCAAGTTGAAAAATTCATGTAAAATTATTCCAACAACAATACTGATACTAAATAAGTGCTAATTTAGGCAAAAAAGTTGCGAACTTTGAATACGGATGTCCGGCTATTTATAATTATCGATATAAAAGGCTCACTCATTGAATAGGCCAATCGGGAGGAAGTGTAACAAAGCGCAAACTCTAACGCCAGCTAAGGATTGGAATACGGATGAAGTGTGGTTTGGACGCTTCAAAGAATAGGCATTCCAGTGTTTGCCATGCGTTGACTCTTATCTCACTAAATCTGCCAATTTAAGAGACTAGCTCTTAAAATCTGCAGTTTCTTGTAGAGTGGGACAAGTATTTTATTGATGGTGCGCTGGTATTTTCGAAGTGTACTAAAACTCTTTTCCTCCGTACTTTCATCAGGTGAGGTATTTACTGGCCGTAGAGTGATGGAATTTCGCCATCTCCAATTTCGGCACTTGCAGCATGTTGAAGAGTCAAAACTTATGAACAAATTCCAGAATGCTATTACAATTTGATTGGAACGAAAATTATTCTCCCCAATACGTGATTGGATTTGCGTGTTGGCGCATTGATGTTTACCTCGCGTCCACTTCCTACATCCTGTAGGTGCAACTACCAAAGCCGAAGAATCGCTTTCGATTTATTACGGATAATGTTGTACCTGCGTTTGGTATGAAACTCTAAATCAGTAAAAGGACCTCACGAGTCCAATTTATTTTGTGCAATATTGTAGGCCACTTTGATAGGTTACGTTGCTCGTTCACATGAAGCCTTTGGAGGCACACATTTTTGAAGCAGCAAACTTTTAGATTTGACCGCTGATGCAAATCATGCTAGCGAAGGTATCAAAGGGACCTGATCTAGGCCTACTCGCTCTGGCTGACACCGTTACTATTACCTTTATCCACCCGCACACTTATCGCGCTATGATCGATGACCTCGATGCTGTCCTGCGGACAGAGCGGGGAAAGACTGTCCAAAAATGGCTGCCATGTTCATGAAGGCGAAAAAAGATTAAATCTGACGATACTATTTTGGGTCTGTGTTAAGTCCTCTTCTAGTGGAACGTTGAATCAGCCAGTGAGACACATAGTTGAATCTATGGGAACGCTATTCCCCTTCGAACCTACCATATTCCCTATCTTGGTACTTTTTTTAGCCTTGTGTTTGAGGATGTAAACGTTTTGGTTGATGAGATGAAACCATGTTTCCACCTTGGTATCGTTACTCCGTGATCGCATTACTACATCCAAATGATCCTCACAACTCCCATTACCATAGGTAAAATGTTTTATTGTCTCCCATTAACTCCAATGGAAAGACAACCAATATAAGACAAATTTAACCATGGCAAAGTCGGTGTTAACGTGTACACACGTAGTCTGCCAACAGTAGGGAATTGTGGCACTTTTGTGTGCACAATTTATGCAAAACAGACACCATTAGGTGGCTAGCATTTCATGACTCTTCTCCCTATCAACATCGTGGGGCAAGGAGATGGAAGATGGGGAAGGGCATCAATGACTTCTACATTCCATTGGCCTCGCTTTCTGTTTATTTTACACTTCATTACATTCTAATGCGTAAATTGACAGCCCGCTAAATTCAACATTTCTCATAAGTAACCGGTTCTGATCTATATACTACCAGCACCCGCTCTCCTTTTATGCATTATTGGTGCAGTAGACTGAATCTTGCCCTTCCATTTACTTTAAAGTCGATTGTACTGTGAGGTCTGAGTGGCATCAGAAGTCGATGCTACTGCATAACATACGCGCGTTGTCAAATGTCCTGTCAAAAATTGTCAAATCAGCTGTTAGCGGGTCTTATTGACAAATATGTGCAATTAAAGTACACAGAGTGCTGAAAAAACCTCAAAAAAAAAAGTACAGCACTTGTAACCTTAGTAATTTTGCAAAGTGAAATGCGGATTTCGAAGATGAACACTTTATGCGAATTCGAGCTGAACAGCTTAAAGACCTCTGCAAACGTTACCAGTTTGGACTGAACTTTTAATCGACCTATTTTTCTATTTCATTTAATAATTTTCATCGTCAAGGGTAGAAAAGTGAAGCGATAAAGGAAAAACGATGAAGTCATCATGCAGCTTACCGCAAAATTCGGGTGTGCCGGCCATGTCTTGAATAACCTCATTTGGATTTAACCGTCGGGCGAGCCCAAAGTCAATTATCTTTATTCGTTTAGTCTCCATGTCCTCTATCATTATATTTTCCGGCTGATTTATTAGAAAGAAAAGCGATACAGTTAATTAACTAATGGGGGAGGATGCTACTTAAATCATTTAAGGCATACGGAAAGCTTAACTAATTTATCTGAATGACTTAAACACGGTAATAGAAATGGGTAAATAAGCGATTGCAGATTTATGCACTGTTTATGGCGATAAAATTGTGCGAGAAAGAGTCTTTGGAAGCTGTAATGGGGCACACAAACGCAGCAGGACAGACCTGGACCCAGGGTGGCAGTTTGGGCGTGCACGCGCATCATGGGCTGGATTTTGACGCTTGACGATGATTCACGCACAGTACTGGCGCGATTTTGTGTCGTTTCGAGGATCCAAAATTAAGCAATTTGCGGAAGTACAACTTATCTGCCTACCACCTTTACTGCGTCAGTACCATTTCAATTTTGCCTTTTCTCGGATTTAATTTTGCCTTCAGTTTTGGGGTTTTAACAGGATAAGAAACTAAATAATCACCTGAATTAGTTTGATGGTGGTAATGCCTCATCCCTGATGTCAGTACAGCTGGCATGAAGCATAATTGAGACGAGTAATTTAATATTCGTAGTGATAAAAGAAGCGATTTCGTGGCCCACTTCTACTCCTTCCCGACCTTAAAAATGTATCATTGTCAGTAGTCAGAAGGATATTGAAACAGAAGAAATTTGGCGCATTCGATTTTTGCACCGCAAGTATGTAATGGGTGCCATGTTTCATATTCTTGACTCTACATTTCATTGGAATTGTACCGCACGATGTAACAAAGGGATTCAGGTTTGGATGTCGCCAAATGACACAAGAAGAAGAAAGGGGATGAAAAGTTACCACGCGTCCGCTGTTGCGAAGAGATCCCCCCGAATAAGTCACCTCCAGTAGCCCATATTGGCTACATTTTATCCATATCCACCGGTTAGGAACAATGTTCCACACTCGAACTTAATAAATGACGAACTCCCGCCATAACACCCAAGAATTTATTACGTTCCTTTTTACTTCAAATGTAACAGTACGTGTGCCCTCAAAAAACATAGAGGATGTGTCCTATGTACTTTGCGGCATTCCCGAAGGTTAACTACTTCGAAGCAGTAATAAATGCCCTTTGCGTTAGTAAAAGTGATGCCCCTAATAGGGCTTAACTTAAGTACTATTTTCACCTGTCTTTTGGGAGTCAAAAAAGCAAAACACATTTGATATATTTGTTACTGAAATCCAACTTTGCATTTGTCATTTGACTTCACTAAATATGGTACAGATGGGGGAGGAATGACGCTCGAATGATGTAAACAGCCATAGTTCCTTGTTTATTTAATCATATGTGCACGATTTGACACAAAATTCAAAATTACCCAAGGTGCCATAATGTATCTAACTGGAAGAAAAGTAATACAATATCGTTGAGTATTCAGACCGTGTATGAGCAAAGGCATCAGTCTGATACATACTGAATATAGAACTGCTAACAGAGGCCGCAACTTAAGGAGCACGGCAGAGGCACGTGAAAATAAGAATCTTGGAAAGTGCAATTTTTAAATTACCACTAATAAAAGCCTAAGTGATTAGGCCATCCAAAATAGGGTAGAGTAGGGGAAAAGTGCAATTTATAACTCAGTTAAATAATTCTGCAGAAACAAAGTTGACGTCAAATTACATGCCGTACAATTGCCTTCGAAGAATAAGATCGGCCATTAAAAACAAAAACATATAAGCTGCATATACTTTAGACAACAAGGATACTTGAAAAATCCTACCTTTAAGTCTAGATGAACGATCCCAAGCTGATGCATATGGTTGACACCAAGTAGAATTTGAGCGATAAAATAAACTGCCTCGTGTTCATCCAGATGCTCAAATTCAGCAACTCGAGCAAAAAGCTCCCCACCGTTAACTCTATTAGCAAAAAAGTTATGAAGTTTATAAAAGCTATGACAAAGAAATCCGTCTTCAAAATGTAATTTGCTCTGTTGCATAAAGCATTTAACTGCGTTAAATAATTAAAAACACAAAAACAAAAAAATTAACTAAACTGACATACCACCCACAAATTCAGAAAAAAATTTATATTTACAATTCAAGAAGAATTATGGAGTAATCATCGTGCTGAAATATCTCATAGAGTTTAACAATCGTATGGTGGTCGATAGATCGTAGCACCTGAACCTCACGCTCAACTTCTTCTGGCGTCATACCACGAGAATTAGGATCATAGTGACCAAAAACAGTCTTTTGCTTCATCTTTATGATTTTTGCCGCGTATTTTTGACCTGAACTTCGGCACTCACAAACTTTGACTTCTGCAAAGTTTCCGCTAAAAATGGCAGTTAGACGAAATATGGGACCATACTCTCCAATTTTTTCTCCAAGAATGTAAAGACGGTTAAATTCATCCATTCAAAGCGCGTAATTCCTAACATAAAACTAACTCACACACAGCATCTAGCACCGATTAAAAAAGTGACGACCCTGAAATTCCAAAAAAGAGATCAATTTGAAAAAGGCAAACAAATCAACACTTATTTGCATTTTGAATTTATTTACTAACTTATAAAAAGCAAATAAATTGCAATAGCTTTTAAATTCAGGCTACAAAATTTACATATGCAGCTAAGTTTATAGCACCCGAGTAACCCTTTGGCAACTCATTTATTGCACATTATTTTTGTAATGCTTTGTTTTTGTGACTATCTGACGTTTGGCGAGCACTTTAGAACTTGTCTAGGCCCAGAACACGTGGGCTGGCCTTCGGGCCACGCTCAGGCCCCCATTTCTCCTATTGTTTTTGGAATACATGTATTCAACCTCACTTATGCCTTCTACTACCCCACTTGGAGCCTCGGGACGCTACAACTTTTACATTATTATAAAATATTCTTAAGAACGTAGCAACTTAACAGTAACTTAATGTAGACTTTAATTTTAGCCGAATAAATTTATAAAAAGAAGAGAAAATGGATCAAATCTGGACCTAGACTAAAGTCTAGCCCACGAGAACAAAGATAAAGCACTGCCTATATTAACGCCAAGACACTAGGCGTCAGGTATTAAAACGTTTTCTAACAGTTTTCAACTATTCTTTACTATATTAGTGTGCTGCCAAATGTGAATGCATAATCAGCGCTCTTGAATCTCACTGAGACGTGTTTTGAATAAGATTTAAAGGCTGATATTTTGACCGTATTTGTCCCAATTACAAAAATTATACTGACTTGAATTTTGTTCCCGAGTGAAGCAACAGAAATGCCGCATTCATCAAGAAATGTAATGGCCTTTAAGGCCCCTGTCAGATAGTCTTACCCCACAGCACCGTCCTCCGCTTTTTCGCTCACAACATGTGACACACAACGTCAAGTGTGCTTAATGTACAATGAACCACCAATTTAGAGCAATAATGTTGCCATTATGATGAATGCATTAAACAACGTGCGGTTATGAATGGAAGCAGTCCAGTAGATATGACACCCAAAGACTCACAACATCCTGAGAGAAGCGGATCTCTGTTGAAGATGGAAAACAAATTGGCAAGTGATAGCTATGGGTAGATGTCATTGCTTAAACACGGAGTTTGCAAACATGCACCTTTTAGCAAAACGACTATTTAAACATCCATTTAAATAAAACTGTCAGGAGGCAATAAATTAGCTCCTGTAGGACAGGTGAATATGGGTGAGGGTCTAGCATTTCAAGGTTAATTTATTCGATGGTGGAAACTTTAATATATGCTAGTTCGTTTAGGTGGATTTTTATAGGAGAGAGGCGAAGACTAGTTGGGAACGCCAATGTCGTGCGCGAAGACGGTGAGGAGTCTCTCTCCAGCTAATATTTCTTATATGGCTAATATGCATTCCAATCCTCATTCTTCCTGAAACAAGGGCCAAATAAATCATCTGCAACTAACCCTCTCTTTAGATCTGAGGTTCAAGTGCCAGAGGGTAGGCAGGCAGCTCTCACAGAAACGAGCACAAATTAATTGAGAAAATGGCACTAACCAACCAAACCTCACAAACGGGCAGTTTGCTCCTAAGTAAACTGTGCACACGAGTTTCATTAAAAAGGTGTGCGAAGTAGGAGATTGTACATGCCTTAAAACTACACGCTGTGATTTTATTGGCACCGGTAAATGGACATCAAATAGTGGGCAATGCGATCGGCAATGTATGAGTCTATTACGTGATTCGAGTCAAAATGTGCACATGGAGAAATATTTTCTGGCTTGACTGTATACCACGTGAAACCAGGTATACTGAGTTCATAACCCACAGGCATGCTTAAGCCGTAAAGAAAATGCAAATTGCACCTTCCACTGTAGGAATTTTATTAGTTTAGGAGAATATGAACTCGACATCCGTCAAAGACTTTGCACTCAGAATAGAGACCGCATACACTTGCTTCTCATCAAATGTGACCAGAAATAGGCTTTGGAACAACAACAAAAGTTTAGCAAGGATGAAAGCATTTATCACAGTCTCGTATTTGAGAGGATCCACAGTGTCATTGTGGACATCTGTACATGGACTTAGTAGGGCAATTTCCGGCACGGAAGTTCCCAGGTGGTTTACGGTAGTGTCGTTTCAGTTGTTGATAGCTTGTCTCTGAAGCCAAGTACGGACATAACTCTCAGCCCTTCGTTGCGAAAAATTCAAAACCCTCCTGTCCGGTGACGTAAGGACTCACTACCGGGTAGAAGGAGGCGTTAAATGGAACTGAATGCATTTACTTCAGGGAAAGAAAGCATCCTCATGCATTCGAGGGCTAAACAAATCTCAGAGTAGTTGCTGGACGTCGGGTGATAAAATGTACAAATTATAATAGAAAAGTAATGAAACAGCAAAGGTTGAAACTCGTGCGCAGAGGAAATTCCGCGCATAAGTGCATTAAATACGTGTTATGCTTAAGTTGTAATTTTGGAATGTAATCTCCTGTACTAAATATAGGTTACCTCTTGTCTTAAAAATTTTACCTACTAATTTTCTTGGTCCTTAAAATGATCATATAGGAAATTTTTTATGAGACCTCATTGGGATTGATTTGAACACCAATGGTTGCTCCTACCGTTGTTTTAAGTCGTGGTCCACCTTAATATGGTGAGGCTTTCTTGTTGATTTTTGATCATTTTTCTAGCTTGATTTTCTGACCGAGCCGCCGTCTGAATGTAATAATTTAATTTACTTAAACGATGTTTCCACAGTGGACGAGCCCCCAGCCAAGATCATGCGAGAGGGACCTAATGTGGAGTTGCGTTTTCTAATCTCCACTAAAGTACGAATTTGAGTTCATTTATTTTCGTCTCTAGACTGCGGGTCTCATCATCGGTAAACGTGGAGAAAACATCAAGAAGCTGCGTGATGAGGTGAGGCGTTGTACAATACATCCTGTTATCTACCTCCGAGACTAGTCCCCAAACTAACCTAGCGGCTATTTCTTTTATTTCATATTGTCTCCCATTGTCCCCGACCCTGAACCTATGCCCGTTCCCAATGGTACAATCCCTGTCACCCGTCCCATACCGTCTATCCCTGTCCGCACCTTTTCACTCGCATTGAAAATTGCGATGGGCTGATTTGTTTACTTGTTGGTGCGTACTCTACAGTACTCTGTCACCATTAATATCCCCGATAGCAACGGACCCGAAAGGTATAGTTTCTGACCCCTTTTCCCTTATTTCCTGCTTGTTCTGTAATTCTCCATTGTCTGCTTTCATCACCCGTGTTTTAGGATCCTTATTTTAGACGGCGACGTTAACTCTGTCATTGAAATCATGCACAATACGCTCAAGCGGGTAATTAGCTAGTTCTTGACATTAATTCTTCCAGCAAGCAATGTCACTGCAGGAAGACTGTGTTGATTTGCGCCTTCTTGTGCATCAGAGTCAGGCTGGATGCATTATCGGCAAAAGTGGGCAGAAAATCAAGGAATTGCGAGAAGTAAGGTTCTTTGTTCCTAATGACCTTTGTTTGTAGCAATCAATCTTGAAGACTCTCAAAGTGTATCAAATGTTGTGTCCTGATTCTACTGATCGTATCGTTCAGCTGGTCGGTACTGTGGCTCATGTCATTAGCTGTCTCCAAGCCATTTGTGAGCTGTTGGAAGGAGCTCCAGCCAAGGGACCCCGCCAGAATTATGATGCTCGTAGCTTTAATGAAGCTATGGCAATGCAGTACGGTGGGTGGTGCGGTATGGGCATTCCTTCATCTGGGAGTAGCTATGGGACACGTCGAAACAACTTTGCGAACAATAGCTATCCACAGGTGTCATTTTTGATTCCATCTTGTTTTTTACTGTTATCCCTTTTGTGACCCAATTCAGGTCTTTGTTTTCAGAGCTCGATGTTAGCTGCTAGCTTGTTCAGTGGAGGTGGAGCAACTCCCCGCAGCGTTACTCAGGCGGCGGTAGTAAGCCAAGCACTCGCATCAGGTATTCCGCCCGCATCTGCCGCGGCCATGTTGGCCGCCACTGGAGGTCAGAGTCATCCTGGAGGGCCTACCTCGGGTCCTGCAGGTGATGCGGCCACCGCGGCTGCAATGATGGCTGCTGGAATGATGCGCGGGTGGGTTTTCGGCTTCATTTGTGCCTTTTTTTCTGTTAACGCCCTATTCTTTTGTATTCCTGGTTGGTTCTTGTTTATGCTCGGTGGGTTCACTCATCTAGGCTTCCTGGAACTGTCAGCATGAACATCATTGCTCCTACAACCACTACTCAGGTTTCTGTCAGCAACAAAGTGAGTTTCCCATCAACTCAATTCCTTTTTTCGTATCTGGTGTCAGATCTCATTCATGTGTCCAAATGACATAGATGATCGGTGCCATCATGGGTCGGGGCGGCACACGTATCAATCAAGTTCGAAAGGAATCGGGTGCTGATATCAAAATCAGTTCTCAAGACCCTGGAGTTGAAGATAGAATCATCACCATAACGGGCACCCCTGACCAAATTCAGAGTGCTCAGTTTTACTTACAACTATGGTAAGCTGTTAGGATGAAGTGTTGTGTTGGTTTATTGGAGGAGTGATCGTTGACAGATGTGCTAACGTTCACCTCCATTTTTTAGTGTGAAGCGCTTTGGCGAACAGAGTTAAGTGGATTTTGAACTCTTTGACTCCCTCATCTGTCGGTGTGAAAAAATCCTGATACATCAATGTACAGTTAGTTTATTGAAACTCCTTCGATGATCATTCGTTTTAGGGGTTGAAAATAAAGTTGCTGCTAATTAAGGTTTGTTGGTGCATTGTGGTTGTCTCAACTACACACCCATGGGATCCGCATGAGTATATCGTGTCGATGAACATTTTTTGTGTCAACTTGCTGCGATTCAACGGGAGCTTAAATAATGCCGGCTGGTGGCATTGTCGGTGCAGGTTATTGCGTTTATGTGGGGCGTTGTTTCTTGGCATTATTTGTTCGCTTCAGCTCGGGCTGTGGAGCGGTGTCTCGAGTCTCGTCTTCTAAATTGTCAAGGTCCACCTTGCGGTCATTGAGTTTGGTCATTTTGGTGCCTCGCTAGGCCCGTGCACCTTCATTTAGGGTGCCACGACTTTGCCTTCGAACTTATTCACGTGTCTACATGAGGTGGTGAGTGATACATGCAATCGTGGCTCGGTTGCCCCTTCGATGTATTCACGGGTCAAATTGGTGGTGCGCGATAGGGATGGGCAGGCGAGGATTGGCGGATGCAAGGAGTGGGGTTATATCGATCGTTGATCGGCCGCTAGGGCCGTGCGCGCAGGTTCGGATGCTGGTTGGCTGTGGCGGCTTTACTGCTGCTGTGGTGCGTACGCGCCCACACGAACGGAATGGTTAGTGCCGCAGACGCGTGGCTGTACATATGCCAAGTGCGCATCTCGGTAGTGACTAATGCCGGAGGCGGGAATATATGCATAGCCCTGCTGTTACCCTCTGCAATAGGCGAAGTCCGATGGGTTATTTATCCTAGACTGTCCTGTTTCGGGCTAGGCCTAGGTTATTAGTAAAATCGACTTGTATCACACAGGCGACTGGAGAAGAAGCGAGGGAATTCTTGCAGAAATGCAACGAAACTTGGGGTGCAAGAATATCAAAGGTAGCGGATATTGCAACTTGAAAAGTATAGTGCGACTAGATCAAATTAATATCAGCGATGAGGAACTGTCAGCAAATGATACATATTGACACTAAACATAAATAGTTTAGTTAAAATGAATCTTTCTGATTCAGGACAGTGCACATTTATGCTGACTGTTGCCATGGTTACTCGAACCGCCAAAGAAACAATGCTGTAAAATTTTTTCTCGAAAATGAAAAAAAATACACCTAAGTCAAGCAGTGAGGGAAATCGAAGAAATACAATGATAATAGATGCAACAACTCGCATTCGAAATTGTCAAAAGTTTCGCGCGTTTATGTTTACTCAACATGAAGGCGTCTGTTCCAAGTTGGTCGGTAGCCAGCCTGGAAGATGACAGCACGAGAGTTTGAGGTAGAGGATATGCGAAGAACCCACGAAAATCCAACGGAATGGAAAATAAGGAGAGCATTTCTGATTAAGAACACCGATGTCCTTGAACCAGAACGCCTGGTATGTCTCTCAAATTGTTTCGTAAACCACGAACTCTATGGCGCGGGATATCCTAGCAGAGTCATGTCTGAGGTAACGACATCTTTTGAGCTCTACCCGTTTGAGTAGATTCAAAGGTATGGCGAAGGAATTATAGACGGCATTCATGCTGAAAAAATCCACCTTACCACTCCCCATATTAAATAAATGACCCAGCAATAATCCACTATTCCTCGGTTAGTTTTCATGCTTTGTTGCTGCTGGGTAAAAAAAAACTCGACAACAGGGCGTGGTTTTAATTAAAAGTCGTTATTATTCTCCCCACACGAAGGCAAATTAAACGCAGAGTAAAAGTACTAATACATCCGCCACCTTCTGTGTTCCTTTAGGCCTTCACCACCGGCACGACGACATCTAGAAGGTTTTTATTATTATAACGAAAATGGATATGCTTTAGAAAACCGCTTCTCGTTATGTGGTCCCTTACCTTCAGCACCGATGGCCTTTGATATATCTAATGGTGGGATTAGGAGATGCAGTAAAATATGCTATATCGTACCTTGCACTATTGCGTGATAAGCGAAGTGTAGGTAAAGCACGAATAGCATATGCAATGCGAACGCGGCCACGCTGCCAGAAATGCGGAAGCCACCTTTTGGAATGATTGCCCACATTATTAAGGCCTGCAGTTAGGTTGGACTTAGGGTTGAGGGCAAGGCAAATACACAGAGATAAGAGAGGAACCGAACGACCACTAACCAGCTTTGTTCCGGCAATACCACAGATCAGAATCCAAAGCATAAAAAACAGTCTCTCTGTTGTGCCATTGTGAGTAGCCGCACAGACAAAGAGGATAACACAAGTGGAACACAGTGCATATCCCTAAAATCAGAAATTAATGGAATAGGGTGAGCAAGGATGTGGAGTCTCCACTGCCATAGATTCATTAGGTAAGCTGACGGCACAGCACAAATAGTGCCTCAGTAATGAACGTACCACGAAAGAAAGGATATGCGTAAAGCTGACAGAGGATTTGCCGAAATAGCAGATGACATTCAGCAAGCTAGAGGAAACCAGCCAGTAGCCAAAACAGGTCAAGAATGCAGAACCCATTAGGGTGCCTTCTTGCTAAAAAAAATGGGAGGAACGGGTGCTGCGTACCACTTTGTGGACGGAGAGCTTCATTTCGAAGAGCAAAACCGCGATCAACGTTAAGCAAGCCATAAATGGTCCGTAAAGGTCATAACCAGAATCTAGAGAGAAAGGTGGACGGGGGTCGACAGACTTAATTATTCGACGTAGTACTTCCTTTGGCTCAACATCGAAGTAGGGTCGGAAGGAGTCGATTTTTGCGTAGTTCTCATAGGCCATTTCAGCCCGTTTTTTGCTTTCTGACCAGACCTAGGTGAAGATCACCTAACAAAAGAACTCCCTACTGATGCAGAGAGGGCTGAGAACAGCTCTGAAGGACCCAAATTGGATTTAGAATTGCGTCTTTGTATTGCATTAGAAGGTGATTCATCTCCATGGATTGGAAGCATCGTTTCCGGACTACTGAAATGATAAAGAGTGGGATAGTGGTGTAGTATTACGACTGCATACAAAGCTTTAGGAGGCCGAAACCCACAGAACACTTATCAATAAGGAACGCTAATGTATGCAAAAAATTTGAGAAAATATTTATTTTCGCTCCCTACAAATAGACTAAAAGTCATTATAAACAGTGGACACATGGTGGTGCAGAACCGAACGCTT